CCCCGTCTCTCTGGAGTTGTTGGGCTGGACACTTCCCAGAAAGGGAGTTGTAACATATGTTACCTTCTGTATCTGGCTTTTTTCACCCAGCCCCTCTTGTGTACACCCAGTCTCCATGCTGCTTCTCGAAGGGCATGAGAAGAGGCGGACATCATGAGAGGCACGGTTACCCCAAGGAGCTGCCTTCCTGTGGAGGAAACTGGGGCCCTAAGTCTGGATTCCATGAATGAATATGAATGTGTGGGGGACACATCCCCTCAGTTGAACAGAAACACATGGATTGATTGATGGTTCTCTTTCTATGCAGGTTGCCAGCTGGAACTGTACATTCCCCTAGCCAGGGTTTTTAATAGGGTTCCCCTCTTGGCCATCCTTAACCCCAGCTGTGCCTTCTCTGACATCCACATACACACTTGTTGTACACATCTCTTAGGGCCCTTGAAGAAGTGGGAAAGAGCCAGGCGTGTGGGTATTAGTTGTTGGAGGAGTCAGTGCATGTGATGCCGGTGAGTGGCTGCTGTTTCTCTTTGCAGTACCCCTCAGCAACCTGCCAAAGAACAGTTACAAGACTGTGCTAGAACCAGCCCTCTTGGGGCAGACTGAAATGTGTTTTGGCCTAGGACAGTAACGGTAAACCTTTTAGAGCGTCGATGATACGAACAGCCTGCTGTGGCACCCAGGCCATAGGTTTACCACCATTGACTTAGAAGCTGTCTGAGGACTAGCAAGAGAACAAAAAATACACTATGTACTAAGCTTTTGCCTTTTAAATTCCACCAACCCTATGATGAGAAAAGTATTGAATACCTCAGCTCTCTTTAAGTGTGACACAGCCAACACATAACCCAGTTGTCTAACTACATTCAAACCTTGGTACTATTGTCACCGGGTAAGCAAGGGCAAGGCTTGCTTTCCTATTATACCACATCTTAAATTCTTCGCCACCCAAAGGTATGTCCTGCACATGTCTTCTCCGAAAAAGGGCCTTTGTGAAGCTGAAAAGGCAGCCATATTTGCATGGCTTCTGGCTGAGTGTTTGCTGTAGAATTTGAAAGCAATTAGAAATTAAATCTTCCATGGACGAGATCTCCTGTCTTCTCTTGCAGGCAACAGGAAGGTCGGGTGTCTCGCATCTATGCTACCTTCGGACCTGATCAAGGATGATGTCATAACTGCTGTTCCTACCAAGATGTCCAAGAACAATGAAGGAGTCCCCACAATCCTAGAGGAAGCCAAGGAGTTGGTTGGCCGTGCAAGTTAACCTTGGTCCTGCGGCCATGGCAGCCCCTAAATGAAGCCCAGACTGTCCTGCCCTGCAGCATATGCCCAAAGGGTCAGGGGGATGTTCGTCTGGAGCGGCCACTGCTATCACCCTGACTCTTTCTGTCTGGCCTGCTGCTCTCTGAACATCACATACATTTTCAGCTGCCTGGAGACCAAAAGGGCTGCGAGGGGGAGGCCTGAGCCCAACCCAGCCAGCCCTGGCCATTGTGTTACCAAAGCAGGGTCTGTGTTTGCTGCCTTAACCCTGTCTCCTCTGTTACTCAGAGGGCCTTTACTCAAACAAGGCCCATCCTGCTTTCTCAGCCCAACTTTCTAGTGGGCCTTCCCTAGGTCAATCTTGCTGGCTTTGTGCTTCTCTTTTGTGGCTTCTCCAGCCCTGGCAACAGCATGGGGCTTATGAGCCTTTGGGCTAGAGCCTTCTTTCCTTACTATCACCTCTGCTCTTTCCCTTATTGGCTGTTGTTATTTATTACTAATGCTGTGGCATTGGGAGCTGCTTCTGAGGAAGCAGGGAGCAAACCCACCTTACCCACTTTCCTGGGAAGGGGCTCCCAAAACTGAAAGGATCTGGACTGCTCTACCTGTGCTGAGCCTGTGGGCAGGTGGCTGGGGCATAGTGACAGCATGGCCCACGTCTCCAGCTTGCTGCCATGCTTTGTGTCCTTGCCTCCCTGAACCCTCGGTACCAGCCCCAGGCTACTGAGCCAAGGTCCCTTACGCCTTCCCCCGGGCTTCGGTGCATCTCACCTGGAGTATGGACTGTAGTGTGACCATCCTACACCTCACCCTCTGTCTCCAAGGAAATGGGAGGTGGAGCCTCCTGGCTGAGAAATTGTTTTGCAAATGGATCTATTTTTGTACAAAGAAAAATTTTTTTAAAGAAAACTTCCTTTCCCCTTCCCCCTCCATAATCAAAGAGGCTTTGATGATAGATTCAGAGTTCCTGGGATTTCTCTTCATAGGCTTAACCACTTCGCCTGCCCTTGGACCCTGGCCTCAGCCGTCAGACCCTCTGAACTCAGAGGCCAACACAGATGCTCCTCCAGCGTCAGTCTGAGGCAGGAAGAATCTCTTCTGGTGGGGCTGGGCCAAACCTAAGAGTTATAGGAACTCTGAGGCCACAGATTTTATGAATTTAATAAACTACCAAGCCAAATGTACAGATGCTAACTGGATAACCTGAGAAGTGGGCCCAGAGGCGCTCCATACACCGTACCCCACTACCTTCCTAACAGTGGGCAGACTGAACTGTTGGGTGGCCCCCAACCTCAGAAAGCTCAGGTTCTCTGGCTTAGGGTGACACCTTTACCCTCCTATGTCCCTTTGAGCTTCCCACGCCAGTTACGGAGAGAATGGCATTGTTAAGGATAGGCCCAGAGGTACACTTGTTAGAGCAAGGGGGGTGGGGTTTGGACTCTTGCTGGAGACTAGAGAGGGCCTTGGGACCTGGAAGGAGGGTTCTGGCTGCTAGAGCTTATGTCTGCAGAGGCACAGGCAGTTCCTCAGAGCTGTTCCCGGGAAGACTGGTGCAGGAGGCCTGTTGCTCTCTTGGGTCACCTCCTTCCTCTTGTTCGCTGACATCTGGGGCTTTGACCCTTTCTTTTTTAATGTACTTTTGCTAAGATGCATTTAATAAAAAGGGGGGGGGGTTGGGGACAAAATTCAAACCTATTCTCTCACCTCTTGGGCTCCTGGGATGTCATCACTTCCAGTTTGATAGGTTTCCAACTGTTAATAAAACATTGAACAGCACCTCTTTCCAGCCTGTTTTGTGAAGTTTTGTGCTAATTTCTTTTCAGTCTAGTGGAGGGTCCTTTACTCTTCTGTGTCACAGCCCTGGCTGGCCTGATAAAGCTGTCACAAAGCCAAAGGTGCCGGACACTGAGTACAAGGCTCAATCAATACTTGGTGGCTTCTGTCTGGCCAGAGCTCCCCTCAAGGCTGTTCACCTTCTGTAAAGAAACAAGATGTCCAGTCCAGCTTCCTGTCTTTTCCACATCCCTGCTGCTTGGCTTGGGGTCCTTTTCTTATTCTCACACTCTACTACCCACTTCCCCACCCCCGAGATGTGCAGTTTCCCAGCAGTATCTGTGCCTCTTTTTCTGATAGAAGTCTCAGACTCCCGTCTTCACACCGCAGGTTCTTGGTGGCCACAGACCACACTGGAAAAGTAGAGGAGCTTAGGCTGGGCTGAGAACCCGAACCTTCGCTGCAGAGGTCAGAAGCCTGAGATCAGGTTCCAGCGGACTTGCCTCGCGTCTGGGCCTGTCTGGGCCTGCCCTGACCTGTACAAAGAAACCTACAAGCATTGACCGGGGCCCAGGATAGGCGGGGACCACAAACCCTCTGAGCAGCCTCTGGAGCTGGATATAAAAACCATTTAAATAGCTCAAGACCTGGGCAGCTGCCTTCCCGTGTGGCCGGAGGTGTGGGGGTGGGCTCCCTGCCTCCTGCCTTCCTCTCCCCTTGAGGCCGCGCATTTCTGGCTCGGCTTTATAGCGCACGTACCAATTAGGGGACCAACCACAGCTGCTCACGCGCTTGTGCCTGGAATAGAACCCAGACGCCAGGCACCCCGCCCCTCCGCAGCCGGGCTTTGAGAAACAGCCCTGCTCCATCTCCGCAACGGTGCACACCACCCTTCCTCCCACGCAAGAAATTCGCCCCCAGATGCTTCACTGGAAGGTTCTGTTTCCATGACAGCAGGCTATAGGAGGTGGGAGATAGGGTGACCCGCCTCAGAGAATCCGCAGAGGGCGCCCAGAGACCGCCGCCTCCCCTCCCCCCCTCCCGGGCGGAGCTTCTACTTGCTGACCCTTCTGATAACCCCCGTGGGTCTGTTTCGATCCTTCCGCCCTCCCCTCCCCCTCTGTCCCTCTGCTTCGTCCGCAGTGGCGACCTCAGAATTTGCTGTGCTGGGTGTGGGGAAGCGGGGGAGGGGGCGGGAGGAGGGAGGCCTGGGAGTGAATGGAGAAGCCCAGAGGCGGAAGGAGGGAGGACGAGCTGGACCTGCGGGCTGCCTTGTTTATTGCTCAATCTTTCGATCCCCTTGGCGCCCTCAAGAAAGCGATGTGTCCTCCAATTTGTTAGGCTTTTGCTGCGAAGAGGTGAGCAGAAGGCAAATTCCAGATGCAGAGACTGAGGCCCGGGCTACCTGCTTCACCTCCCGTTTTCCCTCCCACTCGCGGCGGTCTCGAAGCCTCTAAGCAGCCTGAGTGGACGGAGGCGGGAATACACTCTCGCGAGGGAGCCCCCACCTGGGCTCTGGGGGAGGTGAGCTGAGCGGGCAAGGGCGGAAGGAGGGGGTCCCGGCGCCCAGCCAGGGCTGCCTGCCCGCTTTGCCCGCTCCTGCCTCCTCTTCTGCCTGGAGACTGGCGCCTGGGATCCAACAGGGAGAGCAGCAAGCACGCATCTGCGCACCAATTACACGCGGAGACGCCACACTCAAACTCCCCACCCCCACAACAGACCCGCGGGCCGACCGCACGCCACAGGGCAGATCCGCAAGCACGGTGACAGCCCATCGCAGCCACAGCACAGCGCGAGCGAGCGTGCACAGCCATACTGGACAGACAGACAGACGCACACACAGGTAGATGCTCAGTGACACAAAACCAAGACGCAAACAGCGGCCGCTAGTTCCACTCCTCCAGCATCCACCTCAGCGCATTTCACTCACACATACCAGGAACTCCAGCTCTTAAACAGAAACGTCCAACCTTTCAGAAGAAACCTTTTTATTATTTTTTCGAAGAAAAAAAGCCATATAAATATTAGAGTATAAAACTTGCGTGAGATACAGGAAGAGGTGGGGTGGGAGCTACGTGACTATGCGGAGAGAAGCGCTTATAGAAGGAGTCAGTATCGGGGAGGGGTCGCCGCAGCGCGTGGACACAGCACGAACACAGCACGGGCCGCTGCAGGCAGATTCATGGGCGGCCGGCGGCGCCAGCCCGCCCCGCTGCCCACTCGCCATCACGTGAAAGCACACCGCACTACACTATTGGCTACTCTACACCAGCCAGGGGGCTCTACACTACTGAAGGGCTGGGTGGGGTTCTCCTGCAACCCCGCCGGACAAACAGGACCGCAGGGACAGAAGGGGAGGGCAGAGGAAGGTCTATGCACAAGGAGGCACTGGGGGACTTTTACCAGGCTCTGGCCACTAGGGGGCGGACTGGGGGCTTGGGCAGTGGCCTTCACAGAGAAGAAATGGCACCTGGCAAGGTGAAGGGCTGAGGCTTGAGGAGTGCAGGGACCTGTGGAGAAGCCCCTTCATGGGCTGAGACTTTCTGCCCACTCGGTCCCTGATCTAGCTCCTTGCCTCTCAACCCGAGGACCGAGAATGGCCTAGCTGGTCCTCCTTTCCTGCTGGGGCTCCTCCAGTCCTTCTACATGTGGCACCTCTGGAGTACCCAGCACCCACAGAGGCCAGCCCTTCTGACCTCTCGAGGGCACCTGCTCCTAAACCCCGCTCAGAGCGTCCTTGCACTGAAATGCCAGTTTAAACCCATTGGTCCTGGTAGCTCAACCCAAAGCTGGCTGCCTGGGCTGAAGCCTATAGATTGAAGCCTTTAGCCTGCATGTGTGTGGTGAAGGTCCAGCCTACTGCTTGGTTTGCGGCTGGAATTCGGGGATCTGGCCAGTACCCTGGGGATATACAGAGGCTCCTGCAAGACTCTGTTAACTAACTGATGGGCCAAGCTTTGTCCATCCTCCCCCATCCATACACATACACACGCACATACTTTCCTTCTGTATCTTACCACCCCTACCATCTCACAACATGCAATGGAGTCTCTTGAGGAGGGGTAGAGAACACAGCATGCAGCGGGAACATCAAACAATGAAAAACAAAACAAAAGACTGGTCCCCAGGGCGTTGGGAAGAGGCTTGGCAGCAAAATGCCCTCCCCAAATCCAGCAAGCATCAGTACCATGGGGATGGATGGTGACCTTTCCCCCCAAAACTTGAGCACTGGTTGCAGGCTCTAGAAGGAGGCGAAAGGATTGGCACCAAAGCATGCTTTGGGGGAAGATTGAGAGCTGAAGGGGAGACCAAGAGGTCATGATGCTCTTCCAACTCTTCAGAATGATGAGTCTTTTTAGGTCACCTGGTACCTCAACACCCCAACCACCTTACTCAAGAGAGGAAATCTGAAGGAGTGGGGTGGGGTAGGGGAGCAGAGAGCCAGGGGATGGATGGGCCTGATTGATTTGGAAGATGAAGGAGTTCAGCTGTAACTAAAGGGAGTGTGACAATGGTTCTTATGTCTACACTAACCCCACTACCCCCAGGGGTACAGCAATTGATTGGATGGGGGTTCCCAGCAGAACTCCCTTTGCATATTCAACCCCCTGGGGGGAGGCAGGGGGTGTTGACTCTGGGCACTTGTTTCTGTTTCTCAAGGGGAGCATGGCCTTGGCCCCTACCAGAATCCTGGAAGTGAGGCCTGGGTACAGGTAAGGAGAAGCTGATTGGGGGGAGAGGCTGCTCTGTGGCTCTAGGCCTGGCCTCCACATTACTTCTTTTCCTTCTTCCCAGACTTCTTCTTGTTTCCATTGCCACCTGCTGGGGCTTTGCCATCCCGCTTGCCAGCTGCATTGGTCAGCGTGGCATTGCTGCCCGGGATGTACACGTTCTGGCGGTAGTCAGGCACATGCTGCAGGGTGAACTGGGGTCCGTAGCGGGCACTCAGGCCCATGGTGCCAGCTCCCCCTCCCAGGGTGGAACTCCCATCAGCAGCTTCTGCAAAGACAGGAAGATCAGATCATCAGAGTGGGGGCCATGACTTTTCCACCACAAGCAGGTCCTGAATGTCCATAGAGCTCTGTGGACCCTGACCACGCTGAGCACTGGGAATACAGTGGTCACCCAGAGAGCCTCCATGTATCTGCAAGGAGCTGAGGGCAGAGGTTAAGAGGGCGAAAGCCTAGGTTTGATTCCTAGCTATCTTTTTCTGATCTGCAAAACAGGAACGACAATACTCACCACCTCTGGTTCCTGTTTGAGTGAAAGTGAGACACGGACATGTATGTAAAGTACTTAAAATAGTGCCTGGTATGTGGTAGGCGCCAAATAAATGCTAGCTAGTACTTCTCAAAGCCAAGACCCTGGCTCCCAAATCCTCGCTCTTCTCAATCCTTGGAAAAGGAGCCTCTGGCTTCTGTGCTAGGCCATGGTTTGTTTATGCCTTTCCTTTTCCAACCAGTGCCCGGCACAGAGTACAATTCAGTAGTCTGCTAGTGGGGTGGGACGGGGTATTGGATACTCTCCAAGCATCCATTTTCTGGGAGCATTTGACTGCCCACTCTAAGCCAAGCACTTTGCTAGAGGCCTCACATGCCTGGTCACTTTTAACCTCAACACAACATCCCGTGAAGCATGTGGAAGCTCTTCATTTTACAGATGACAGAACCAAGGCCAAGAGAAGGCAGATCCCAGAGAGTATGTTATCGAAAGACTTGGGCCCAAGCGTACCTTGGTGCCTGCTGGAGGGCAGAACTACTCTCCTGTACCACCTACACCAGCTTAGACCTTATCCCTACTCTGAGGGCAAAGGATACAGGGAGGAAATGGGGATTTGTGATACTTTGGGTGTGAGAAGAGAATGTAGTACCCCCTTCCTGGCATACAGGCAATGTCAATTCTGAAAAGTAGAAACCCAACTTAGGAAAGTTAAACTTAACTTAACCCTGACCAGTTGGTGCCACTGAGGGGAAAAGGAAACAGAAAAACAGAACTAGCCAGTGTGGGGGCACATGGCTGTAGTCCCAGCACTTGGGAGGCTGAGGCAGAATGACTGGCACCAGTTCAAGGGCAGCCTGGGCTACATAGTGAGTTCAAAAACAGCCTGAACTGCATAGCAAGACCCTATCTCAAAAAAAAAAGAAAAAGAAATACAACTTAGCTTAACCTGTCAGGTGACCCTACTCTGATCCCTTCTTTCCAATCACTGGTACCCACATCTCCTAAATCCGGACCACCTGTGTATAACCCTAACCACCGTTGGCCAGGGAGGACTCCTAGATTCAGGTGTATGGTTGTTGGAGGCAGTAAACTTCCATTTTAAACTTCCTCGAAGCTGGTTATATTTTTTGTTTCATCGTGGGTCTTCTTTGATCTAACACTAGGAGCCTAAGATGATGATTCCAGGGACCAGACTCCGTAAGTGCAGTGCAGGTAGAGGCTCAGTGTCCAAGCTAGGTAAGATCAGAAAGCATCTCTAGCCCAACGATCCACTGAACAGAAGGAGCGGGCTCAGAGATGTACAAAGTCTGGCCCTCGCTTAGCATCACCTGGGAACTACTTTAAAGGGCAAATTCTCAAAATCTGCCTCCTAACAAGATCTCCAGCAACTTGACTTGTATGCACAACAAAGGCTGGGGCACAGAAGTAGCCCTGAAGGGCCTTTGGAGGGACTGAACCAGTCAGTGCTTCCCCAGTGTGCAGAGACTGTCATCTTCATCGTTGTCTAATGTGTCATCCTCTTTACCCCACGCCATCCCTGTCTGGGTGAGGGATACTGGGGGAAACAGGAATTTGACTCTGGGCTCTCAGCTGGAGGCCCCAGACTCCGTTGTGGCAGAGAAGGAGTTAAAGCATCAGGCATGCCCAGCCCAACCCCTCTCCAGCTGGCAGAAGAGCCTGCGTCCCCAGTCTCCCTCTGCCCCCGCCCTGGACCCTGGAAAGGGTAGGAGAGGGTGACTAAGGCTGGAGAAGCTGCGTAATCCTGGGATACTAACCAGGGATTGAGAAATAGACAGGAAATAACTCTCAGTGCCGCGGTTGGAGGGGGAGGGCAGAAGAGAAGAGAGCAGAAATATGCCTCTAGCGCTCGGGCTTCTACAGCCTCAAATCCGAAATCCTCGCAGCTGTGGCCTCCTAGGGGAGGGGAAGGGAGCCAGGGAGAGGGAGCAGCTGCCCACCTCCTCCCTCCTTCCCCTGGCCGCCCCTCCCCCAGCCTTTTCATGGTCTTGACATTTCCCTGTTTTCCCTAATTAACTCCAGGAGAAGCCCAGTCCTTGGCGGCTGCTCCTCCCCTCCCCTCCAGCTCCTGCCACCTCCAGCCTCCTTGAGCCTGGGAAGGGAAGGAGGAGAAGGCTCAGATCTGGTTTCAAAGAGCCCGAATTGCAGAGTGATTTAGGGGCTGGAGGGGAGCCTGGAGTGTGTGTGTGTGTGTGTGTGTGTGTGTGTGTGTGTGAGAGAGAGAGAGAGAGAGAGAGAGAGAGAGAGAGAGAGAGGAATGCAGAGAAAGAAACCAGGAGAAGGGAAGCTGAATTTAAAGATAGAAGTCAGGTCCTCCCACATCCTCCACATACCCAAGATCTCTGAGAAGCACCCAGAATGGATGAAAATGACAAAGCAAACTCCCGCCCACCTTGTGGGGTTCCACAAAATTGGGGTGGGTAGAGAGGAAGAGAAGACGGAGAATGCAGGGTATCCAAGGTGTAACCGACAGAGACTGACCCTGGACCTCTGTTTGGCCAGCTCTGCCATTAAGGAGCTCTGTGATCTTGGCCCAGGCCCTGGGCACTGAGGCATGTTTCCACATCTATGATTTGAGGGGAAGAAGTTGGGTCACTGGCTTTCGCGTGCTATACAATCAGTTCTCCAGCAGCCACTCCCTCTATATCCCCCCCCACCCGACGCACCCCCACAAGACCCACTCTGGGCAAGGACCAGGATTTTCGCTAAGTCCAAGTCTCTAAGTCTATTTAGAAAAGCAGCGAGAAACCATCTTCTGGCTGGAGGAGGTAAGCTTGTCTCCCTCCTGTATCAGCCCCATGGTCACCCCAACTTCCCCCCAGACAAGCCCAGGGCTGGGGCAAACACTCGGGAGTGGCCAGGAAGGCTTGAGGAGCTAGACCAGAGCCGGTCAGCTGCAAACCGCAGCTTCCTGGAGAGCACACCTCCTCCAAGTGTTTATTTAAAAAGCCTTCCGAGGGCCCTCTTAGCTGCCCTCAGCAGCCCCACAGGCCTGGCTGGGCTGAACTCCAGAAACCTCTCTGGTTCTAGTGCTAGGAAGTGACCGTGAAAGTGAGAGGAGGGCCTGACCCTGCCACCTCCACCCCGAGTCCACTCCCTAGGGCCCAAGGGTGGCCGGGGGCCAGGCCCCTCGTGGGCCAGAGGGGTGGCTGGAGGGCAGGGTGGAGCCCCAACAGCGGCGTGTCCTGCCTGGGCCCTGCTCCAGGGAGACCTTCAGGGAGGCGTTTAGGCCATAAATACTGCTTCCACGTCTGTTTTTAACATCTGGATTTAGGCTAAAAAGCCTTTTTCTGGCCTTAGGGTTTAAGGCCACAACAGCTAAATAGACCTATTTACTTCCCTCAAGAGCTGGGTCTGGCATCTCCCCAGGCCCTGCTGCCTGCCTCTGTCATAACCAGTATCCGGCCTCTCTGGGAAGACAGCCCCATCAGACCCGGGACAGCTCTGCCCCAGAGGGCTGGCGGCCCGACCACCTGTCATCAGCCACCGCCTGGCCCCACAAAACCCCACAGACATTTCGGGTAGGGTTGCCAGATGGGAGTAAATAAAAATGCAGGGTGTCCGGTTATATGCGAATTTTAGGTGCACAAAAAGTTTTTAGTGTAGTCGCTCTCATGCAGCATTTGAAATTTACTTAGGCTACAGTAACACTTGAGCATCTGAAATTCAAATTTCACAGGGCATCCTGTATTTTATTTGGCAGCCTAAATCTGAGAGAATCTGGAGCATTAGGAGTTCAGCTTCTCGCTCTAATTGGCTAAAAGGGAAAAGGAGCTGGATCTAAATGCAGACACAGTCACCTGTAGTAGGAAGGGCACAGACTTGGGAGCAGAGGTGGGTGAGAATCAGAGCGCAAAACTGGGGCTTTTGGGGCAACTGGCATCTCACAAGGTGTATCTAGCACGTACCCCGGCATGATGACTGTGGCACTGTGACTGACCGTTCTCCACCACCGGCCCTCTAGTTGTGCTGGATGGCTGGGCTCAGTGCGCTACACAAGGCCAGAGCCTTAACCCTCTGCCAGGCTCCCTAGGAGCCCACAGTTTGTTGCTCCAGAAGCTAATGCTTATTAATAGGCATTATTCTAATTCTGCCTTTTATCCCTATCGGTCAGTAAATATAATGTTCAGTCAATTATGTGCTCTGCTCTCCGCCAATCCTCTGCTGAAGGCCTTATATTTGGTCCGCACGATATCACAATGAAGTCTACTAATGTGTCCATTTCCTAGGTGAAGCTGGGGCCCAGAGGGGCTTAATAACAGCTGAGTGGCGGCAGCAGGATTCGAATCCAGACTGGCCTGCCTCCAAAACCTGTGCTCTTAAGTTCTAATGTTATTATTCTGCTTCCGCTGTTCAGGACCAGTGTGACTTTTCAGGGACAGCCACCACTGGCTGAATCCCTATCGCATGTGGAGCTCTTTGCTAGCCCTGTGAGAAAACCAAAGCCCTGTTCTGGAGGTGAGGGCAGCAAAACAAGGAGTCTTTCATCTCTTGGGGCCATCCATACCTACTTTCACTGACTGAGGACTTTCAGGTGCCAGGCCGGAACTCTGTGCTTTATGGTAGCCTGTTCCTCAGTCTTCCCAAAAACTCTTTGGGGCTGCTGTCGCCACTTCCTTGACTGAGGAAACTGAGGTTTAGAAAAACTGAGCAAAGCGATCCAAGTCACAAGGGGCGGGGGTAAGTGGCAGAGCTAGGACCTGCCCTATGCTATTCCCTCCAGAGCTAGATTTGCAGCCACCACCCCCACACCTCAACAGATTGTCACTTGTTCACTTCTGCTGGGCACCGCAGGACCCCCAATTCCTCTGCTGTTCTTTTTTTTGTATCGGGAATCGAACTCAGGACCTTGTGCTTGCCAAACAGGTACTGTGTCACTGAGCTATATCCCCAGCCTTCCTTTGCTGTTCTTTAACCTGGGTCTATATCCTGGAATCGTGGGTCCTTTCGGCAGCTTCGAGATTCAGAGAAACTGTGCCCTTTGATATCCAGTCTCTGGGTGCAGCAGCCAAGGGAGGCACCCAAGCCCCACACCTCCAACCCCACCATACCGTGGGTGCCACTTACCGCTGGCAGAGGCCAAGATCATGGCCTGCAGCATCTCTGTGTCAAACTGGTTGTTGGGCCAGGTGCCGGTTTCATCGCCATTTTGGGAGCTGAGGAGAGAGTGGGATGGTGAGCAGGGTCCCAGCCCAGGCTGGCTTTCGTCCCTCTTACCTTCTTCCCAAGGTCCCCAAATCTAGTGGTCCATGTGACCTCACGCTGGAAACCTGCCTCTCTGAGCAAAGTCACAGTCCTTTAGTCCCCCAAGCCAGCTGATAAACTGCATTCCCTGCCCCTCATGAGAGAACATGGTTTGCTGTCACAGAAAGGGACATTAGACTCTCTCAGAGGACAGGGGAAAGCTTAGAGTATGTCTCAGACCTAGGGAAAGGGGTGGGGACCAGAGAATTTAAGGGAAGATGCAGGAGCCCCCAAGCAACCCTGCAGCAGGGAGAAGGAAATAATAACTCAAATCTGACACAGAATCTGCTTCTCCTATTTCATGAGATGATCCACTCCTAGCTCCAGTCTCAAGCCTTCTTTCATCAAAGCTTTCCCAAAGCCCTTCCCTGACGCTTTGTTAATGGAAATCAGGGGCAGCTGCTGATCCCTAGAACCTCATCCCCGAAGCCTTGGCCTTGGGGATGTAAAATTTGTCCAGGGGGGTCTGTAAGCGCACACTGGCTGGCTTGGGTGGTGCCATAGTCACCCTGTTGACTGTACTGTCCGCTCCTCCACCTCAGTGACTTGTGTGAGGCAGGGACAATTGTGCCCATTTCGTACTGAGGCATCTGATGTACAAGATGGTACCTGGACTTAATTAGGATTGAGAAGCTCTGTGCATTGAAAAAGCATGACTATAAAAGAACCCTAAGGAATTCCAAGTAAATTTAGATTTTTTCCCACCATGATCATTTCTATGATTTCTTTTTTATCTTTAAGGATCAATTTATTTCACTTTGCAGGAGGGAAGCAGCCTGGCTCACACATGCAACCTGCCTGTTAGCAACCCATTGGCACCACCTGGCTCAGAGAATTTCCTCAATAAATAGCTGTCCGAGTGGATGTAAGGAGGCAGGGGAGAGAGCTGAGTCCCTGTGACGGAAGGGTTTCAGGGCAGGCCTTGAAGGCAAGGTCTGTGGTGTGGTGGTGTGTGTGTCATGGTAGATGAGCAGGGCCAAGAACTTCTTTACACTGTGCAGGGTCTGTCTCTGCTTATGGTTTCTCCACTCCCAGGTAGATGGACCCAGGCTAAAGCTCAGAACAAAGCATACAGCCATGGTGTGTCACCACCACACTGTCACAGCAAACACAAAATGAAGGTTGGAGGGGAAAGCAAGAAATCCGTTCCTCCCTCCTGAGAGTGGGAAGAGTTGGAATTCTGCACCGACATATTCAACAAAGATTTACCGCGCAGTTACTATGACCGACAGTGTGCTGCGGGCAAGGTTGCGGGTGCATACAGGGCAGAAAGAGTCCTCTTGGCAATGCACATCAAGGCTGACTTAAAACACGAGCAATCATTTAATTGCTTAATTGCTTTAACTGTGACAGGTTGCAATGGAGGCAAAGAGCAGGACACGACTGACGCATAAGGAAAATCCTGACCTAACTGGGGTGAGGAAGCTCACCTGGTCTAGGCTCCTCCAGGGCAAGGGGAGCAAGTTTAAATCTGAGCAAATTATCCAGGTGACTTGCAGGTGAATGGCATCTAAATAAAATGTGGGAGGAACGACTGAAAATCACCACTTGGTAACCACTGATGTGAAGACAGAGTCAAGCTAGGGTCACCAGTGAATATTAAATTACTAACACTGGATGAAGTGTTGCTCCACATCGCAAAGTACACGCACAGATTGCTCATCAACCACAAATACTTTAAAATGTCTTTACAAAGCTGACCACAGTGGTTTGCACCTGTAGTCCCAGCGACTTGGAAGACTTGAGGCGGGAGGATCTCTTGAGTCCAGGATTCAAGGCTAGTGTGGACAACATGGTGAAGCTTAGTCTCCAAACAAACAAAAAATGCTGGGCTGGGGCTGTAGCTTTGTGGCAGAGCACATGCCTAGTATACATGAGGTTCTGGGTTCAATTCCCCAACAGTGCAAAAAATAAATAAATAAACAGCCACAAAAACCCTTATAATGGAGAGATTTTGGAACAGTACTTCACCAAGTGAACAAACTGAACATTGCTGATGTGACAGACTGATGTGGGAAATATATAACATTGCTTATGGGTTGTTCCTACTGTTATGGTTTGTGTCTGGGTGTCCCCCCCAAAGCCTCATGCAGCCATGGGGCAGGCTTTTAGAGTTTGATTGATTACCGGTGTGAGAGCTACACCCACCCTGGGGTGAATAGTTTGCATATGTAAGGGAGAGAAAGAGGGTGCTTCTGGCCATTTCCTCCCTTGTGTGTGTTGTTGCTTTGCTGTGTTCTGTCACCATGAGCTGTAGCTCTCTGCCATGTGCGACTCTGCCTTGTAATCTGCCAAGTATGGACTAAAACCTCCACAAACTGTAAGCGAAATAAACCTTTCCTTCCTTAATTTTGGGCATCAGGTATTTTGTCCCAGTAACAAGAAAAAAGTAACCAAGACACCTACCAAGACTGTTCCACCAGAATCTGACCAGGAGAAAAATAATCAGCAAGTCCATTTTAAAAGACAACTGATTTGGACTATTTAAAAATGTCTATATCATTCTTTTAAAAAGTAGAGAGAGGGCACTGGGGATTTAGCTCAGTGGCACAATGCCTGCCTGGCAAGTGCGAGGTCGTAAGTTCAATTCCTGGTACCAGAAAACAAACAAACAAACAAACAAATAAATAAAAAGAGTGTTCTAGATTAAGGAGAAGAAAAAAGCCAGGTGTGGTGGCAGCACCCCTAGAATTCCAGCATTTAGGAGGCTGAGGCAGGAGGATCACTGTGTGAGGCTAGCCTAGGCTACATAATGAGTTCAAGGCCAGCCTGAGCTACATAGTGAGAACTTATCTCAAAAAACCAAAATAATAATAATAACAATAATAATAAAGAAGGAAGAGGCAAGGCAACAAAATGCAATTCATACTCACTAGATCGTGCATTGAAAAACAAGCAGGTTAAAAGGATATTTTGGGAACATTTATGTAAATCGGCTAGTGGACTATAAATTATGGCATTGATGTTAAATTCCTCAAGTGTGATCATTTTTTTGTGGTTATATAGGTGTCCTAGGGGATTTGCACTAAAGTGTCAAGTGCTACAACTTCTGCAACTCATGTTCAAATGGTTAAGAAAAATGATGTGTGCATGTGTGCATGAGTGTGTGCGTGTGTGTGCGTGCAAGCATAAAGACAAAGGTGCAAACTTTTAACAGTTGAAGTGAAGCTGTCTGATGTCCATCATACAATTCTTTCAGCTTTCCGATAGGTTAGAAGAGTGGAGTGTTGTGAGACCTGAACAGGCAGAGGGAAGACTCCTTCTGGCCTGAGTCACTTGGTAGAAGGGGCGCGGTGAGCTCAGAGGACTACGAGAGTATGTGGCTGCCACAGGCCAGGGAGTCTGGACGCTCATCCTCAGGGGTCTGGGAAGCCACTGAGGTGTTCACCAGGGGTTTGCCAGGATGGGATTTATGTATTTAACCATCACTCTTGCTCCTGTGAAAGGACCCAGGGTGGGGGTTTCCCTGGGAGGGCAGGAGCCCAGAGATGGGGCTTCAGCTGCTTCTGTCTCCAGAGGACCTGGGAGTCCTCACTTCTAGCCTGACTGAGCTCTCGGGCAGGTGGGCTGAGGCCCAGGGTGGATGTAATGGGGTAACATGGGGAGAGTAGAGGGAGGAGGGACAGCTTTGGGCTGTTGGGGGAGGCCCCCGGGAGCAGCAGCGCAGGTTAGGAGGACATCGGCGGTGATGAATAGTGGCATTGAGGGGTAAGGCGACTGGAAGGGTGGCCTGGAAATATGATGGGCTGGGCCTCAAGGAGAAGTTTGGGACAGGATGGGCAGGCTGCCAGCCCTCTGAAGCTGGGCAAGAGATGAGCAGAGACTTCTTTTTTAGCCCTTCACTGTTCTCCGAGTACTGGGTCAACTGAAGTATATATTTATCTCCTATTTCATCCTCAGTCCTACCCTGCAGATAAGGGTTATGACTATCCTTGTTTTCCTGCAGTTGAAATCAGGACTCAGGGACCCCAAAGTCACACAGCTGGCAAGTGGCTGAGCTGCAGCCTTAAAGTAGGCCTCCTCTGCCTCCAAAGCCTGTGACCTTACATCCAACAACATGCTGGGCTTCAACAAGGAAGCCCTGGAGCCCCAGCAGCAGATGCAGCGGCCTCTTCTGGGGAAGAGTGCAAAGTAAAGGCACCATTCACCACTTCCTAAGCACCTACTATGTGCCAATGCCCACAGTAGGCCCTAAGATTTAAGGGATGTTAGAAACACTTCTTGCAGTAAAGAGTTTATATTTTGGTGTTTTGTGTGTTTGTGTGTGTGTGTGTGTGAGAGAGAGAGAGAGAAAGAGAAAGAGAGAAGAATGTTATTGGCTGAGCTATAATAAAATATTCTGTCTGCATCATGCTCAAAAAAAGTGAGAAATCTGGGAAAGTCATCTTGATAACAGTCTGGGTGTAACTGTGTTAAATATAAATACACATGTATCTTTTTAGTTTTTTGAGACAGGGTCTCGCTATATAGTTCAGGCTGGCCTTGAACTCTGGGTAGTCCAGGCTAGTCTGGAACTTGTGGCAATCCTCCTGCTTCAGCCTCTCAAGTGCTGGCATTACAGGCTTGTGCCACCACACCAGGCCAACATATGTATCTTCTTAACATAGTAAGAGCTTATTAGCATCTAAAAATATATGTATATGTCCACATGAGAGGCTATGGTATAATAATTAAATCATTTTTGAAAAATTTTTATTGACATGGAAAAATTCTGATATATTTCAAAGAAGAAAAAATAGGTTACAATCCTGATGGGCAGGATGACCTCAATTACTATTTTTTTTTTTAAATTGGTAAGAAACATACCAGATGACTGGAAACGAAATTTTTTTTGTTTTGTTTTTCTTTTTATCTTTTTGAGACGGGTTTCATTATGCAGTTTAGGCTGGCCTTGAATTCAGTTTGTAGCACAGGCTGGCCTTGAACTTATAGGGATCCTCCTGTCTCAGCTTTCTGAGTGCTGGGATTACAAGCGTGCGCCACCACACCCAGCTGAAAATTCTTGATATTCCAAGTAAAACAAGCTTATGACAATGTAAATGAATTAGATTTTAGAAAAGAAGCTTGCATGCATTTTTTGATTACACAAAAACATTTGAAAAGATACATATAAAAATGTTAATGATTCAATAAATAAGAAGAAAAACTTTTACATTAAAAGGGTTAGACAGCCAAGTGTGGTGGTGCATGCCTGTAATCCCAGCATTTGGGAGGCTGAGGCAGGAAGACTGTATCAATATTGAGACCAGCCTGGGCTACAAAGTGAGCTCAAGGCAAGTCTGAACTGCATAGCGAGACCCTGTCTCAAAAAGACAATAAACAAATAAATGAAATAAAAAGGTTACAGAATCTTAAGAGAACCTCAATCAAAAAGACAGTGTGGATATTAAGAAAGAATTCATCTAAGGCCAGATGTTTTGGCACATGCCTATAATCCCAGCACCCTGGAAGCTGAGGCAGGAGGACTGCCATGAGTTCAAAGCCAGCCTGGAATACATAATGTGTCTAAGAGCAGCCTGAAATATATAGGTAGACCCTGTGTAAAAAATAAAAAAATTCATAAAGATAGCGAAAATACAAATTAAATTATATGATATCTGAGTTTGCTTTAAAAAAAGCCAAGTGGGGTATGAAGGAGTGGATAAGGTGACACAAGATAGGGCAATGGTTCCACAGAGGTTCACCACACCACCTCTCTCTACTTTGTATAGATCTGAAGTTTTTATTTTTTTATTTTTTTGTTTTTTTCCGGTACCAGGAGTCGAACTCACGACATCGCGCTTGCCAGGCAAGCGCTGTGCCACTGAGCTAAATCCCCAGCCCCAGAGCTGAAGTTTTTAATATTAAAAAGTTAGTACAGTTTCTGACCAGATTATAAAATGACAGGTTATTTCTCTTTTAATTTTTTTCTCTTTCTCATGTTTCTATAATAAGCATGTAACATTGTATAAGCAGAAAATTTAAGCCACTCTTTGGTGAATGACCCTTCTGGGGCAGGAGCGGGGAAGATGCATCTCAGAGGAGGAGGGACGCAAAGGGATCCAGCACTGGCAAACTGAAGCCCATTTGGAGCTGCCAAAGGGACAGCGTAGGGACAGAGGCCAAAGAGCCTGCCAGCGCCTCTCCTGGCTGAGGGGAAGAACAGCAGCACGGGCAGGGTGGGCCCAGGCTGCAGCCCAGAAGCGAGAGATGCTGGCCTGGGCTCTGAGCTTGGGACAACAGCTGTCAGGATCAGAAGCCAAAAGGATGAGCTGGGTTTGGTGGTGCACGCCTATAACCCTGGTACTCCAGAGGCTGAGGCAGGAGGGTCACCATGAGTTTAATTTAAGGCCAGCCTGGGCTACACAGTGAGTTCAAGGCCAGCCTGAACTACATAGCAACCAACACTCTGTCTCAAAAACACAAGAACAAAACAAAATAAAACACCAAAGGGATGACCTGAGAAGGGATAGTAGTAAGGAGGAGTCAAAGGCGGGCAAGGACTTGAGAATGTGAGTCTTTTCTTTTTCTATCAGCATGTCCTAGTGTTGGCTTGAACTGGATTCACCACAAACCCTAACACTGGCCCTGCTGCACACCCGGTGTATCTGACTCGATGGGTTGCACAAGGTGGGCTACAGGGCAGTAGGCAAGATAGTGGGCCAGGACGGCAGTGGGGGGCTGGAACCACAGTTAGATTGGATGACAGAACTCTCCCCTCACTCTCATCTGCTCATCAGAATGGAAGCAAAGAGAAAACTCCCTGCCATTCTGTTAATCCCAAGAGGCCTCACCCCAGGACCTTTGCATATGTTCCTCCCTCCACATAGAGGGCTCTTCACTTGCCTCCAGTTGGTTAATTCATATTCACCCTTCAGGCCTCATTCCCTCCAGGGTGTCCTCTTTCCTGGCTAGGTCAAATCCATTTTATAAGCTTTTACCACAAAGTAAAAGCACTTGTTATAAATGTTTACCCTACATTTATGTTTTGTGCTTATTTGGTTAATATCTGTCTCTCTCAACACACTGCATACTCCTCGAGAGCATGGCCTGAGAGCATACTTCAGGCCATGTCTGATCTCTCACACACCTGGCACCCTGCCTGGTCTACAGAAGGTGCTCAGTGATTACTGAGTAAAGGAGGGAACTTGGTGGATGAACCCCTAACAGTTGTTTTATCTTGGCTGCTTTGGAGCTGAATCAGAAATGTTCTGCTCATCCTTGGCAAGTTAATTAAGGATGAGAGAGCTCCTGGGCCTTCTCTCCATCTCCCCAAGAGCTCCCCATAAATTCTAGGCTGCTAAGCCTCTCACTGATGAGAAGGGATTTGAAGCAGAGTAAGGTGCTCACTCTGCGGGGTGCATGGGGAGTAACTGGTGGGGTTCTCAGGTCCAGGACGTGGGCTGGAGATGGGCAGAGGGCATACAAATTCCCCAGTGCTTCTCATGGCTGCGGCTCAAACGTCACCTCCTACTAGCCTCCCTGACCCCCTCATTATACTCACCTCACCCTCTCTTCTGTTACTTTCTATGATTTGTAACTAGATGTGTGTGTGTGTACGATTTGTTGTCAATTTTCTCTTCTCTGCTGGCCTCAAAACCTATGAGTTCAGGGACCCTGTCCGTGTGTTCACTTTTAAAGCACAGGGCCTGGCTCATAGCAGATGTTTAATAAACATTTGCTGAATGGGTGAACCCATGAATGATTGAATGGGTGGCTATGGGGAGGCGGGGCAAGGGCAGCAGGAGAAGAGAAACAGCTGGGATGGAGGGAGGGATCAGCACCAGCGTAGTCTCAGTCTCCTGGTTTGCTACCTGTTAGGGGCCCGTCTAGGAAGTGAGTGGCATTCCTGATGCCAGAACAGGACTGGGTCTGCCCAGGAGCTGGAATCTGCATGGTACACCAAGGCCTCTTGTGTTCTCGTGGCAGGGAGGAGTTGTTTGGGGAAGAGAGGGAGAAGAACGGCAGCCCAAAGCCCAGCATCTTAGCATCTTAGCATTCGAAGGCCGCCGAATCGAGCCCAGCCGAGCCAAGCCGAGCCGAACCGAGCCGAGCCGAGCCGAGCCGAGCCCAGCCAAGCCGAGAGGAGCCCCTGCCTCTACCCGGGACTCCTTGGCTGACTCCTCCCAGCTCTGGGCTTCCACCAGGGAGGCCTGGCCCAGCGCCCACGGCTCCCCTCAGGCCCACTAAAGCTCTTTCCGCTGGAGTTCCCCGCCCCCGCAGGGGGTTCCTGTCTCCACAGGAATTCGTAGGGGACTGAAATGAGCAGCTGGGGCAGCTGGGGTGGGAGGGTGAGTGGAGGGGAACAGAGATCAAAGGCTCAGTGTGGCGGGGGCAGGGAGAGGGGGCTGTGTGTGCCAGCCAGGCCACAAGTACAGACAGGAGAGAGGGGTGGGCTCAGAGGAAGGGACAGGAGGAAAGAGACGATAAAGTGTAGCAGGGAAGGAGACTTAGCAGAAACAGAGACAGAGAAAGAGACAAGCACAGGCACAGCAAGGCTGAGGAGAGAGGAGAGCAGGAGTCATGAGGCAGGGGGACACAGAGACGAGGAAATAATGCAAGGAGAGACAGAAAAGTGGTCAAGGACCAGGCTAGGGAGGCAGAGACAGAAAAGGAGACCTGAGACTGGACCTAAGGAAGAGTCACATTTATTCACTCCTTCCACATCTATGGAGCAGCGCCGCCATCGCAGGCGGCCATCAGGGCAAGCAGACACAAATGGTGGGAACGGAGATGCGGCAGAAAGACAGAACCTGAGAGAGACAAGAGAGGGAGAGGCGGAGATCATCGCAAAGTGGGATCGAGGCTGAGGGGAGCACGGAGATAAGAGAGAGGCAGAGGCGCAGGCGGACTGCAGGGAGAGGAGGCAGAGCGAAAGTCCTGCCGGCAGACAGGGCAGGACAGGCGGAGGCCAGAGGGCAGCGGGAGCAGGCACCAGACAAGGGAGACCTGCCCCGCCCTCCCCTGGGTGGCTCTGCGCCCCGGAGCCTCACCTCCTGGGGCGCTGTCTCTGCACTCCCTGCGGCTGCCCCAGTGTCCTGCCCCACCTCTCCCTTCCTCCTCCTCCTCAAAGGCTGACTGTGGACAGCCTCCTTCGGCAGCCCCTCTTGGCCTGTGTTCCTCTGGCCCAGCCCCAGGTCAGGCTGGAGCCCGGCTCAACTTGGAGCAGGGGCATGCTGGCAGTGGATGGGTATGAAAAGCCTCCTGTCCATCCAGACACCTCTGGTCCCGTACAGCCCTCAGGAGATAGGAAAACACGCAGGTGGCGGGGAGAAGGGAAGGAAGGAGCAGTGTGTGTGTTTAGCTTCCAAAACAGTCAGGGCAGTGCCTCTTCCTCCTGGGGTCTGTGTACCAGCCCTCAGTACAGCACAACCTTCCCGAAATCTCAGACTGAGGGAAGAGCCATTCGAAGCAGTGCTGAGCCCTCCCCCCTCTCTTCCCACCCATCTCCTCCCACGTCATCTTGATCTCTGAGAAAATGCCGAAAATGCCGCAGAGAAGAGGGTGGGCTGGAGAAGCAGTCACCTACCCGCTGGTGCCTGGTCTCTGGGCCTGAGAGAAACGCCAGTCCGTGTTGGGCGGGGCTTGCTGTGGAGAAAACAGAAGGAGAGGGGCTGAGTACTGAGAGGAGGCAGGATGTCACCTGAGTCCCTGGGGACGGCCTGGGATGGAAGGCATGCAAGGAATGCACTCATCTTCAGAGAGAACAGGAGAACAAAACAACGCAAAAATCCTGCGGGACTCAGGGGTCTGAGGTATCCGAGCCTAAAAGGAAATAATGTTTTATCTGTCACAGTGAGCAAACCTAGATTCTGTGGCTAAAGAAATGGCCTCTTCTCCCCGTTTCCAGACTCAGAGCTTTGGAGCCAGGGACTGAACAGATCTTTTGTGGCAGTGGAGGGAGGAGCGCGGAGAAGCCCTCCAAAAGCGGCAGAGGAGGCATTTAGAGGAGAATCCCACCAGCCCCAGCATGAAATTATTCAGACCCTCAGCTGGGAACAAAGCATCCTTTGCAGCAAGATGGCTGCTGCTCTGGGTAACCCTTTTCGTGCCAAGTTGTGCAGCGACACGTTCAGAGGGACACCTCCTCCGGCCTTTGGCTCTCAAGGATATCTTCCCACAGCTAAATACATTATTAATTTAGGAGTCATGCCAGTCTGGGCCTTTGCAGGGCATCCAAGCCCCAGGACACTTCTCACCCCCAGAACTCCATGCCAGACAATGGCCTGTGACTCAGGAGGAGAGAACAAGGCTGCTCTGTCTGGGACAGAGAAAATGGCTGGGATAGAGCCCAGAGGGATCAAGCTCCCACAGTCTCCAAGCAGAGCCAACTAAGTCTCCAGGGCTCCCAAGGGGCTGAGCTGCTGTTACCCACAACCTCGTTGAAGGTGCCAGCTACTTAATGACAAAGTCAGTCCCAATCTTCCAGGGCGAGTGTTGTCACACTCTCTCAAGGAGCACTCCTACAGCCATGTCCTCGCTGGTTTGGGGTGTGCTGGTAATTAATTCTCAAGTTTGCTCCAGGGAGCAGAGAGTGTGAGCATGTCAGATTACACTGGGGAGAAGGAAGACCAGGACTGCCAGCGACTCACACAGAGGCCCATGATGACTGATTTGTGCAGAACCCAGAAGCCTAACGTTCCAAGTGCAAGTGGAGCCATGAGCAACATTCTGGAACTGCCGTAAAGAAGAACAGAGGGGTGGCCAGTCCTTAGCCATTGTATTCTTAAACACAGTGGAATCTACGTAGAGGTGCAGAGATCATCAAGGGAGGAGAGGGACCATGATGGCAGAACACAATGTAGGTGAGGATGACAGGGTGCTGAGGATGAGGAGTCTCAAAGAATTTCCTCCACGTGTAAGACCCTAAAAGGGAAAGAACCACACCCTTACCTCTTCCCAGCAGATGTCAACTGTCTGTTGTCCAGCTTTACAAGATCCAAGTGCCAAGCCATTTAAAGCACCCACACTGAAATTTGGCTTGGGTTAGAGTCTATCATCTACTGTGAACTTGAGTAAGTCACTTGACCTCCACGAATCTCAGTTATAAGATGGGGCTGTTACTACCCATCCAGCGGTGGTGGTGGGGCAATCAAATAAGGTGCTTCGGTTTTCCAACAAAGTGTGTGAAGCAAGATCTCTGAATGTTGCTTCAAAGTAATCCTGATTCAGTAAGGGCAGGGTGGGACACGGATATATTTTGTGTAAAAGCTCCTAGAGTTGTGGGAACTTGTGACTTTTACTACTCTTTCCCTACACACTAGGACATACCTGGCACCAGGCAGAGGCTATGGCTTTCCATCTGCCTCAGCAGGAAGGACTTGCCAGCCATCTCAGATACTTTTTTGTTCTTATTTTGAGGATTGAACCCAGAGTCTCCACACTGAGCTGGTCCCTGGTCCTTTTTTTTTTTTTTTTTTTTTTTTTTTTTTTTTTTTTTTCGTTTTTCACTATGCAGTTCAGGCTGGCCTCAAACTCAAAACAATACTTCTGCCTCACCCTCCCAAGTGCTGGGATTATAGGCGCGCACCACCATGCCTGGCCTAGTATTTTTAGTTTTGAGACAGGATCTAAATTACCCAGGTTGGACTCAAACTGGTAATCCTCCTGCCTCAGGCTCCCAGAGTGCTGGGGTTATCCAGTACAGTCTCAGATACTTTGGTCATCCCCAGAGTCCTGACCTTACATGACCGAACACATTGTGGTCATGACAAGCCAAAGGCCTATTAGGAGCCTGTAGCACCCACCTCCTGCCAGAGGAAGGAGTTCCCTGTCTATAGAGGTCTGATCTTTGGCTTCAGTCCTCCCAACCTCCACACCTGGGGCCAAACCAGCTCCACCCACCTGCCTGCTTGGCCAAGGCTTCTGGACTATTGGACCTCTGCCCTTAGTACTGAGCCCCAGACCCAGTAACACCACTGGTCCGAGGGTCACATAATCCTGCTCGCCCTACACCAAGAGGATCCAGAGTCACATTTGTGGTTCAGAAGCCCACACAAGGCTCAGGCCAGCTCAGAGGAGACAGTCCCAACCCTGGGAGCCAGCAGAGGGTTGAAAGGAGGCCCTCTGTCCACACCAGGCCCTGGGCTACTGGGACCTTCAATCCTGGACATCATAGTCAACCATGAATGCCTCTGTCACTGCTGGCGGGGAGCTGTGAGTGGGCTGGGGACAGCCCTGTGACCCTGGCAGCGGCCCTGGTGTGCCTGTGTGTTGGTGAGGTGAAGGAGCAGGTGCAAAGTTTAGGGTCCTGGGTGTGGCTTGCAGGGAGCTCCCCCCACCAGCCCGGCACCCTGTAGGACCTTTTGACAGAGGTGGCTGGGAGAAGCAGGCATAGGGAAGGTTTTGGGTGACAGAGAGTGGTGAGGAACTGAAGAGAAACTAGATCTAAGGACCAGTGGGGTGTGTAGGAGAGGGCTGGCAGGCTGAGTCTGACAGCCTCCACCCTGGACCCCACCGAAATCGCTAAGAATTCATTGGAAACTCAGGGATCCCCTTTCCTTTTCTGAGCACGAGGGTGGGAGTAAGGGTCCCATTACACTCTTCACCTATTATTACTACCACCTCCCAGTGCCCAAGTCCCCAGCCTGCCCCGACCACTCCTCTGATTGGCTCAATCAGTCCATATGATCCCGTGCATTCAGTGGAGCTCAGCCAGCAGCTGAGCCAGCCTGAGAGGAGGAGTGCGAGGTCTAGGTCCCTTAGGTGCACCGGCGGCTTCTCCAACACCGCCCCCAGGGGACGCCCTGGGCGGCGCCTAGCCCTCACCTGGCTCCGCTCCCGCAGCGTATTAGCGCGGGAACGGAAGACCTCTGGCTCCAGCGCCAGAGCCGAGGGCTGCTGCACGCTGAGCGGCCTGAGGAAAGTGAAGTCACTGCCGTCGGAGGCCGGGGAAAAGCACGTCCTGTAGCAATGGCTCTGCGAGTCCGTGGGCCGCAGCGTCACCTCCATGTACTTGAGCGTGCCGTCAGAGCTCACCTGCAGGTTAGGGCTGGACTGCTTATAGAATTCCCGGGACGGGGAGTCCTGGCGCCTGCAGCACTGCCCCCCACCCCCGTCCCCATCTGCGTGCCCCCGAAGGCACTTAGCGGACAGAAAGGTGAAGGTGACTAAGGATAGGAGGCTGATGGTTGCTAGAGCCACAATAAGGTAAAGGGTAAGGTCCGACCGCTCAGGAGGGTGCGTGAGGAAGTCGCTGGATTTGGGCATTTCTTCGGGGTCCTCATTCTCCAGAACCAGCAGCACTGTGGCTGTAGAGGACAGGGATGGGTCACCATTGTCCCTCACCAGGACCACCACATGCTGGGTGTCAGAGTCATCCTCCAGTAAGGCCCGGGCTGTGCGCACCTCACCAGTGTGTGCAGACACGAGGAACAGTCCTGGGGCTGTGGACTGTGGCAACAGGGAGTAAGAAAGCCATGCATTGTGGCCTGCATCAGCATCCACGGCTGTCACCTTGGTGACCAAGGAGCCAGGAGGAGCAGAGCGAGGGAGACGCTGGGGAGTTGAGAATTCCCTGCCCGGCCGGGGGTGCAGCACGGCCGGGGCATTATCATTCTGGTCAAGGACAAACACATGTAGAGATGTGTTAGCATGTAGTGGGGGAGAGCCAGAGTCTCGAACACCCACCACGACCTGCAGCATCTGCAGCAGTTCATAGTCAAAGGTACGCTGGGCAAACACCCGTCCATCCTCGGGGTTGACATACACAAAGGAGGAGGCAGGGGCCCCCTGAATCTGACTCCCCACAACGGAGTAGGTGAGGCGGGCGTTATCCCCAGCATCTGGATCTGACGCAGCCACAGTGCAGAGAAGGGAGCCTGGAGGCCGGTTTTCTGGGATGTAAGCAGTGTAGAGCTGCTGGGTGAAGCTGGGTGCGTTGTCATTAACATCTGAAATGTTGAGCCTGATGGTGAGGTGTGTGTGCAGGGGAGGTGAGCCAGCATCACTGGCCAGCAGCTCGATGATATAGTGGGACGTAGCCTCGCGGTCCAAGGGCTGGCTGGTTAGCAGAGAGTAGTGGTTCTCAGAAGGCTTAATTTGAAATGGTAGTTCTGGCAAGATAACCAGACTCACCTCACCATTTCTGCCCGAGTCTCGGTCCCGGACATTAAATAACCCCACTACTGTGCCCACTGGTGTACTCTCCAGAACGGGGTTGACCAAAGAGGCCAGTAGCACCTCAGGAGCATTGTCATTGGCATCCCCTACATCCACTTGAATCACACAGTGGCCCTCCATGGCTGGCTGTCCTTGATCTCTGGCCCTTGCATGAATTTCATAGAAATTTGACTCCTCAAAGTCTACTGGACCCAACACGTGGATTGCTCCACTGCTAGGGTCTAGGCCAAAGAGATTCCGCACTGCCTCAGATGTATGGTCTCCAAAAGAATAGTCAAGCTGGCCATTGGTGCCTTCATCTGGATCAGTGGCATTGAGGCGGAGCAGCAGTGTGCCTATGGGTGCATTCTCTGGGAGTCCCACACGCAGAACTGAGGACTGGAAGGCTGGAGCATTATCATTGATGTCCAGCACGATGATGGAGATAAGGCTGGTCCCTGAGCGGGCTGGGGTACCCCCATCCTTAG